GGACAACACATCCAGCATCAGTAATTTTGTAGCTCATTTTTATATCAAGTTATATTATCATTAAAGGATCGCAGATTTGTTCAGTATTGTAGTTCATCGAAGATTTATGCCTTCTTTATCATTTACAGAGTAGATCTCGCACAGACATGAGAGACAATAAAGCCAGTGTAGTCCATGAAGCAGCTTGAGCGTACAACTAACTAATAATGTTCGTATCTAACGAACAATTAAAGAGTGCAGGAGGTTGTGTAGAATTTGTAGTGCTTTGCAGTTTTCTGCTCACCAATAGATATTAAGTGAAAAAAAGAAAACTTATGGAAATAAACAGAAGAACACCACAAAATGATTGTTATGTCAGTAATGAATTGATTAGACGACAGAATGACTCATCGAAAGGTACATTTCACTGTTATAGAACCAAAAATATGCAGTATGACGCATCCGATCTGATAGTTTCTACTGGTGCCCGTATCGGTAAGGGAAATATTCTACCGGTTACAGCTCTGAATTAATGTTCTTTATGAGCAGGTCCTTATACAGTTGTTTTGAATGGCAGCAAAAAGAGGTACAGATTACGTTAGCTGATGATTATAATTCGAGAAAATATAGAGAAATAACATACACGGATTGAAAATAATATTTTTCAGCGAGGTAAGGGTGTGTGGCTGGTGTGACTGTGGGTGTGGGTTTTTCATATACACCCAAGCCCACACCCACCCACACCCACACCCACACACCCACACCCACACCCACACCCCCACACCCACGCCCACACCCACACCCACACCCCACACCCACACCCACACCCCACACCCACACCCACACCCCAAAATCGGTTGAATAAAATTCGACTTATAAGCGTTTTTCTGTTCCAAACCAAACGGTACAATGGCCACGCTCTTCATTCGTATACATGTCAGTCTGAGATCGACTGTTTTTCAACGCCCTCTTCTTTAATGGAGAGGTAACTGTAATCTATAAATGCAATAGTTTTTTCGTGTATGTATATTATCTCAACGAATAAAATGTCAATACAAGTGACACATTTATCTGAGAAGGGATTTTTTTACGATAATTTTGAAAAATATTGCATCATACTCTATTTCTATATTTCGTCATTCAAAGCTATTGAATAAATATTCACATTTCTAGACATTTAAAAAATAGAGTTTATTTGTTATTTTTTCAGATATGATTGAATCAACAGACATAAATGTTGATTATTGTGAAGAAGAACGATTAACATGTGTACTTGTACTTGATACATTTAACATCTATATAAACGAAATTGTTTCTCATATATCACTTCCATTATGTTTATGGCCGATTAATGGTCGACCATTACTTGATTATACAATACATACATTAATACAATCAAATATACAAGAAATTATTTTATTAGCAACATCATATTCAAACGAGATTTGTTCATATATAATGAATAGTCAATGGTTGCGAACTTATTCAAAATTCATTAAATTAATTCCATATAAAGAAGCACGTTCACTTGGTGATTGTTTAAGAAATCTTGAAAAAGAAAATATAATAAATCGTAATTTTTTATTACTATATGGTAATGGTACATTGTTAACAAGTGAAAAATTAAATACTTTATTTTCTGTTCATAACGAAAATATAAGACGAGATAGAAATTGCATAATGACACTTGTTTATCGTCAATTAAATTCAAATCATTTTGAACATCCATCATATACAGATGATCAACATGTATTTGTTTTACGTGATAATAATACACATCGTGTATATGATTATTCAAATGAATATCTTGATAAATATCAAATATCACTTGATTTATTTAAACAACCAAATATAACTATGGAAATATTATATTGTCCATTGGATTGTCGTTTAGCAATTTGTTCACCTGATGTTTTACATTTATTTCAGGATAATTTCGATTTTTTAACAATTAATGAATTCGTTCAAGGTAAATATAATGATGCAGAAAAAAAACACAGGAATAATCAGTTAAACATTTATATACAAGTGACTTTTTGTTCGGATGTTCTACAAAAAAAAAAGTTTCTGTATATACTTCGATTTGAATTGTTTCAATTCCATTTTAGTTTTTTGAAAGTCTCATTTGTTTTCGAAGAAAATAATATCGAGTGTAAGTTGAAATCGAATTTTTTAGGTTCCTCTAGCTCTCCCATAACAGACCTTAGTAAGCCAAAGGTTATTAGATATATTTTCCTAGCCACGGTAAATGGTGCTTAAGTAATATCAGCGGTTCAATCATTCTGAAACTCTTTAGATCCTAACTGTTTAGTTTAAATATTGCGAATTTTAGTTTTTCATGTAGCGAAAAGATCTTATTGTAGATGTGAATCAATAGACTGGTCATATATTTTTGATCGAGCATAGTCAGAATAGAACAGACATATAAAAATATGTACTAATAGAATTCTAATATAGAAATGATATATTGAAGATGTATCTGACAATACAAATAAGTTTTTACAGTATAACGACGTTAAGTGAATCGAATAAAATAATTATAAATGCGAATATTTTCGAAATGATACAAATTTTAAGGCGCACGTATCAACTATAAAAATTGTTAGAATTTTGATTTATTCATTTATTTACCTTTTTTTTAAATAAATTACTTTAAAACCTCTGAAAATATATCATAGATTTATAACTGTCAGAGTTTGTGAGTTCTAAACTTCGGCTCTTTATGGGACCGCACTGACAAGTGTGTTTGTCAGTAATTTTAGATCGCATAAAAAATGACTATATATGTTCAGAGAAAATGTTATTTTTTTGATTGAACGGGTTATTTGTCATGAACGAAAAAGAGAGCATGAACTGTCTAAGAATACAATGATCTAGGAATTCATGTTCTTTAGTGAAGCCTAAAATTAAACAAGATTGTTCATTTAGAACATGTACCAGTTTTATCTATATTTATACCTGAAAAAGAAATCGATTCAATTAGAACAGATAGTGTTGGATTGATGATTTACTTTTTTTTTGGGTCGAATTATATTGATAGTTTGATTCCATATTTGTACGCAGAAAAAAAATTTGATTACAATAAAGAAAAATATGCAATGCTGATTCTATAAAATATATACTATATTTTCAAGAAAATCTATAGGAATGTCACATCAATTTCTTTTGTAGAAGCTCGAAATTGAATAATCTTCACTGATAATCAAAGAGATTGATATTCTCTATTAACATCAGTTTCATTTTTATATAAATGTTCAATTTTAATATTTATTTTTTTTCTTAATAGGTGTTTTATTCGAGGCAAAAATTACTAGTCATACAATTTATTCACATTTATATGAAACTGGTTACTTTCTTTCTGTACATAATTTACGTTTATATATGAAAGGAACATTTGATATTCTTCGTCGATGGTCATATCCACTTGTACCTGAAATAATATCATCAATGGATAAACAATTATTTTCAATAGTGACAACTCTTGTATCGTCTCAAATCAAATTAAATGATTCTGATGTATCATTTTACAATATATCTTATCCAATAATCTATGATAAACATAATATATATAAACAAGGTGATATAAAATTAGATCGTTTATCAAATATTGAACAAGATGTTTTTATTGGTCATAATAGTCAAATTTTATCTGGTGTATATTTACGTAGATCATGTATAGGACAAAATTGTATTATTGATAAAAATACACAAATTATAAATTCAATTCTATGGAATCATATACAAATAGGTGAAAATTGTATTATTAAAAATTCTATCATATGTAATAATGTACTTATTCGTAATAATGTACAAATAGATAAAGAATGTATGCTTTGTGAAAATGTTATTATTGGTACAAATGTTCATTTAAATCAACGTATGATTATTATTGCATCGAATTTCATAACATCAACAGGTATAATAGATGAAATTGAAATAATTAAGAATGATGATATTTCAATATCATCAGAAAATGTTAAATGTTCAAATTCTAAACAAAGATCTAATTCAACAAGTTCATCAGAAAAATTTATTAATTCAAGTAATGAAGAAATAATAGTATCAAATAGTGATTTAGTTGGTATTGATGGTTTTGGTAAAGAACTTATTTTTAATTTCGTACATGATGGTCAAGCAGAAAATTTTGAAGATACGGATAATGATGAAGATGATGACAGTGATGATGATGATAAAAATCAATTAAATGCGTTTGATGCATGGGGTTATCGTATAGAACGTAGAGAAAATAGGGGTTCATCAGTCATTTCAGATGACGACTTTCAAGAAGAAGTTATTCGTACATTAAAACGTGCTTATATGGAAAATCTTAAACCAAACAATATTATTGATGAATTAAATATATTAAAACCAACATATAATGTATCACCAACTGAATTTGAGCAATCCATAATACGTGCTATATTTTTATTACCTCTTGAAAATCAAATAGCTAATCCAGAACAATTAAATTATTGGAATACATTAAAATTAACTATGGATAAAATATCACAAACTATATTAAAAAATTATATGAAAATAACAAATGAACAAGCACAAATGTTATTATTAAATGAAATAGATTTAATTTGTTTAGAATATATTCAACTAATTGGTGTATATATTGCTAATATATTAATGTATTTATATGATAATGATGTTATTGATGAACAATTGATTCTTAAATGGTATGAAAATAAACAAGAAAAAATCAAAAATAATCAATTAATCATAAAACTAGAAGAAGAAATTTACTATGATAAACTTAAACAATTTGTTGAATGGTTACAAAATGCTGAAAGTGACGTTTGATGATCATGACGATGAAGATTAGAAATTTTGTTTTTCAAGTTTATTCATAATTTTTTTTGCACAATAAATAAAAAAATTTTTTAAATATTAAATTTTCATTATTAGAAACAGATTTTTTTTCTCACTGTTTATAAGAATACCTTCCTATTCTTTATTGGGTTATACTTTTTAATTCCAATGCTTACTTTTAAATCACTTGCATCTGGAAATTAAAAACAAGACTTTTCTTTTCTAGTATGATAAATACGATTAGCAAAAACGATTTGTGACAAAGTACTTAACCAAATATTGAATGAAACATAATATCTATAATTTCCTCTTCTTTACCTTATGATAAATAAATGAACGTTTGAAGTAATCTACATTTATGTATAGAAAGGACCTTACACAATAAGATGGAAAATTTGCCACACTTCTAAAAGTTTTTAAAAATACATACAGTATGAAAGATCATGCTGTTCTACAGTTAGTGATGTGGTGGATTCGTTTTTTATAAATTATATGGAGTCAATATGGATCATCAGCTTGTGTATTCGAGGTCAATACATATTTAAGAATTGGAATGAACGAATTTTTTTTATCCATAAATATTTTTGATATTGAATACTGTGGTTCAATGCGCCTTTCTTTCCTTTACAAAACGCATGTAGACACTTTGTAAATTCTCTTTACCAGTTAAGAGATATATGGTATAGAATGTAATAGAAACGACACTGGTACAACTAGTTCTAACAGTGCGACTGCTTTTTCTCTGCAACAAAGAATAATACATTCGTGAAACATCCTCACAAAAGTGCGTCATTATTTCATTTACAAAATCTACTCATTCAAAAATTTTCGAAAAATATCCAAATGTGGAATATTTTGCATGTATTGTATAAAACATCCACTTTTTGGTTAATTTCAGGCTCTTGCTCGATCGTTTTCGCAAAAAACCCAATGCTTGAAAATAAATTTCCACATTAAAATCGAGTTCAGAATCATAAATTGAATTGAGGATATGGGTGTGGTTGGGTGAGAGTGGATGTGCAGGTGTGGTTGTGCGGCTAAAGAGAAGACCAAACTCTCATGTGTGATAAACTGATAAAAATGGATCTGAACTCGACTTTTTTTAGTATTGGACGAATTCAAACTGAGTTACTTTTGTCCTAGATCGAATCCGGACAAATTAAGGTGAAAAGAATTAATTAGGAGCACAACATGATTCCAGTCCGGAGGAGATAGCGAAAATAGATGTATAAATTATTACTGTATTGTATGAATCCAACAAAATGTTGGCGACAATCTGCTTTGTGACTAATCATCTGTGCGACGAATTGTACAAACATCGATGATATCTTAATTGATTGCACGGGTTAGTTATTGTTTGAATCAGAGATGCCGGATGGGTCGGGTTGCCACTGGTACTCATTGGGTTGGATCATCCATGTGTTAGTCCTGACTCAAACCAATGGGCTGGACAAGCCATTGGAAAAATTTCAAACCGAACCCACCCATCAAAATTTTAAGGTAAAATTGGTCGGTTAAACCCAGGATTGCCCTTGGGTTAACCTATGAAACAATTTATATTTTTAAGAAATAATTTAGGAAAAAACTTTCAATGAAGATGTCATCATATGGCATATGTGATCAATCAGCTCTTCGATATTTATTGTTTACTCGGGTGATCCAGCGTTGTGGGTGCAATTCTTTTATTTTACCCACACCCACACCCTGAATGGCGTTATCACTGTGGTGTTAAATAAAGTGGAGAACCTTCAGTGTTTGGGTTCGTTGGTAGGTGTGACGAATGGAAATCAATAGTTACCAGTATAGGAATACGAAGATCGATTGTTTCTATCAGTGCTCTTGGTGGCGTTGATGGTGGTTGACAGTGATTTGTGGTGGTTTGATCATTTTCACTGTTGGCATTGATTGAGAAACGAATAGGAGCAGCGACTTCATTCCCAGGTAGTCCTATGAATTGAAAACAATCAGATTGTGTTTCTTATGTTTATTTTGCTTCGAATCGATCAACCTTATTGTGAACATGGACTTGTCTCACTCGATTCAGTCACATCCCTTGCGGGTGTGGGGCGTGTAGATGTGGGATGTGATCTTCTCTTTATTCCCACCACCCTCCACATTCTACATCCACATCGGCAAAGATTGAGACGTAGTTTGAAGTGAATGATCAAAAGAATATTTCATTTTGGTTTCTATTTCGTTTTATTAAATGATTAAACAAGATTTAATTTATTCTAATCAAATAATAATGTTTATGTATTAAAAGTTGCACCTTGAATATTAGTAAGTTTTCAGCTTTATTTTTTTATAACATATATGATTTTTGGTTATTTAACCGTTTGTTTATATTTTCATTAAAAAATTATAAAAACAAGAAATAAATCGATTTAAAAAATAAATCAATGAATTCCTCTATATGATAATAGTTTATGCTATCGAATCGATGAATTTCTTTGATTAGATGAATCTAATATAAAAATTATTGCACATATTGATTTAAATATAGAGGTCTTTGAAATAATAGAAAACGAACTTATTTTAATTGTGATGAAACACAATTTATCCGTTTAAGAAAAACATGTCTCATGTTGTTGATAAGGAATATGTGTACTACTTCTAAATTTAAAGAGATAATTGAAGAATTCTTTGAAGACGTTTATTACATTATTGATATACGCAAGTATTTTTACATGTCCATATTGAATCATATAGATTCATTGGTATGGGGTGTGGGTGTGGGTGAGTGTGAGTGTGGGTGTGGGTGGGTGTGGGTGGGTGTGAGTGTGGGTGGGGTGTGGGTTTGGGTTTGGGTGGGTGTGCGTGTGGGTTTGGGTGGGTGTGGGTGTGGGTTTGGGTGGGTGTGGGTGTGGGTTTGGGTGGGTGTGGGTGTGGGTTTGGGCGGGTGTGGGTGAGGGAACATTAATCAAATCTTTTTTCTTTTCCTTGCAGTCATTGATATCATCGCATCGTGTTGTGCCGTCCATCATCCAACATCGAAGACAGTAAGTAATTATTTTATTTTTGTGAGAAGAGAATAGGAGAGTCAGGAATGAGATTAGGCAGTGACACTGAAGTCGAGGGGAGTTAGGATGAGATTCAGTAAAGTGAGTGTTAGTGGAAGAGGGTGAGTCATGCCCATTGAGATTAGACGCCTGTTATCTTTGCAGGCCTTCCGGATAGGTCCTAAAAATCCGGCCAGGAACTATCTTGGTGTCCGTGGCACATAATCGAGCTTACCCAGGCTCATTGACATATCTCTCGAGTGGGAGGGATATGAATGATTTGAGTCTGTCCCGTGCGTGCATGAGCGTTACGCTCGCCACGGCTCCACCAGGATGGTTCCTGGTCGCGTGCGCGTGAATAGAATAAACCATTCGTTTCATCAATTCAATGCGATTTATTTCGAGAGAAAGGAAAGAAAAAAAAACAATCCATCGTTTGAGTCTATTCAATAGAAAATTGTTGCACACGGTTATTCAAATGATCGACGACATAGAGATTGCCATGTCGATCGAAGGACAAACCCATCGGATGGCTGAACTGATTTGCTCCGTTTCCTTGACCATTTCCACCCACAATGACAGTGCCCTGTTTCGCTCCTTTAGGCCAACGCATCACTCGATGATTCGACGAGTCTGCCACATAGATGGTACCCAATGTATCGACGAACAGTCCTTGAGGATACGGCAATTGTGTCAGAGCATTTCCTGCGTCTTGACCACCAGCAACGACAATTCCTTCTTTTGCACCTTTATTCCATTTCACCACACGACGATTGTTGTGTTCTGACACGTAGACAGTCTGCTGTTGATCGACAAAGATGTAGGTTGGCCAGTCGAGTCGATTGAGATCAGCACCTTGGCCATTGCCACCAGCCACGATAGTTCCATTCTTGTCTCCTGTTTGATATCGTCTTACTTCTTTTTTCAAGACGTCAGAGATGTAGAGATATCTCTGATTATCCATGGCCAATCCCGAACACCAGATGTTGTTGATGAGGATTTCTCCTTGAGTTGTACCACTACGATGAGACCATCGTACGACTCGGTAATTGTCTTGATCACAAATAATGAGACTATCAGTCTCTTTGTCGATCAACACATCGATTGGGTAATTCACTTGATCCAATCGTTTTCCTTGGCCATTGCCACCAGCTATTACTCGTCCATTCGTATCACCCATCTTCCATTGTATGATGCGATGATTGTACGTGTCAGCGATAATCATCGTTTGATCATCATTAACGAAGAGACCAAAAGGCCTGTTGAGTTGATTGATGGCACTGCCTTGTTCATGACCTCCAGCAACAGTCACTCCATTCTGTTTCCATCGGGCATCAACTGGAATATTGGGAATTACTACAATGAACGAAAAAGAAAAGAAATCGTCGTTGTCGAAGGGATCCGATCTTTCGTGAGAGCAAGCGCTACAAATACGACATTCGTCTTTGAGAATGCTCGTTCCGCAGATAGATATTCAAAAGCCTTTTCTCAATTCAGTATAAAAAAGAAGGATTTCATAACGATTCTTACATCTATGTGAATTTTAGTTCTTGCCAAGATCTTTTTGATCATAAAAACAACATCTGGAGATTGCTGTAAGGAGATTTTTTGATGCAAGCTTTTGATAGAAAAACATAGAGATCTGAGGATTTTATTCGAAATTGTGAGAATGCAGAATCTTTTATACGATGATCATATATATTCTCTTTCTCGTAGAGAAGAGTCTAGGAAGAATAAATTGTTTGCTTGTATGTCCACACTTTACTGATTGATCGAAGTATACTGTGAAAAACAAAAGGGATTATTTTTGCATAAAACTTCACCAAAGGTAATTGGGGGTGAGGAATTCAAGTCCGAGGTCGATTTTAATTATGAACGTATTATTACTTAATTATTAATTATTTATATTTTCGACAAAACTTGACCGAATGTGATCGAAGGTGGAGAACTCAAATCTGAGATCTGTTTTAATTATTAATCATTAATATTTTTTAGAACACTCGAAAAGGGGGAATTGAGGATCAGGAACCTGAATCCAAAGTCTGTTTTGATTTTTTTTCTAAGTACTACTATTATTAGTGTCTTTTCTGGAAAACTTGATCAAAGATTTTTCACATAAAAAACGAGAATCTATGATGAGTTTGTGTTAATAAGCAAGTAATGCTAAGGAGTAGTAAAACATACTAATATTATCATAGTTTAGGAAAAAACTTCACTAGAGGAAATTTAAAAACAAGAATTTCAATCTGGAACTGGTTACTATTAGTAATATAGGTAAGCGAATAATTTGGGGAGAGCCCAGAAACAGCACTTCTACGCGAAAGAGCTGAGCAAGTCCACAGACGAGCGTTACTTGTGAACATCAGACAAGAATTTAAGATTCGTAAACTGAGAAAATCCTGAGACGATATAATTTCTATGATTTTGGAGAATCTTAAGGATTCAATATGCATCTTTGTGAACGTTTTGTACGTGATAGGAGAAATTTTCTGATTACATCATGTTATCGATGATTAATATAGATATTCCGAAGGATATCCTACACATTTGCATTGAGGATGCCAGTGAGATTTCACTAGATATTAGCGAACTTGTTTCAAGGTGTTCGAATGGCTATGCTTATACGGTCTTGGCTAGATCCTATTGTTGGACTGACGCATGCGAAACTGACAATGAAGATATTTATACTGTTCGTGAGAAAAATGGGATATATTCGGGTTAAGAGGCGCTCTTCCCTCAAAATCGATGTCCCACTTAACAAGGTCTGTTCGAGCTAAAGTTTTCAGGAATGCGTAACCTTTGTGAGAAACGTCTCTGGTAAAAGTTTCAGCTCAATACGTCCAACTAGAGCGGAGTCAATAGGGCTCCGCTATTATGAGAAGTATAAAACTCGAAGTCGTTTCAAATTAAAGCCAATAGCAATACCCAACTTTTATCCGAACAGAATTTTAAAATTCGCCTCTGTTCATGCAATATGAATATTTTAGTGGACTTGGGGTCAAAAAATAGGCTAAAAATGCCTATCCTTTCGATAATAACAAAAAATATCGGTTCTGCCTTGAAGCCTATGAGACGAGTTTCAATTTTTCTTACTAAAAACCGTGTTTTGAGAAAAACGATAAATAAGTTTAGAAATCAGTTTTTTTTTAATTTACACTCGATAAAACTGGATAAAAACTGACGAAAATAATCGACCTACGGTATTTTTAGGCAGAATCTTTCCGATTATATAACGAGTGAAATCAACTAATGCCATCTATAAACCTTTTATGGTATTTATTGTCTTTTTCGGGAAAGGAGGTGTGCCAAACTACGGACGTAGCATCTTAAATGATTTTGGCCTAATTTTATTATCCTGAGAATCAGTATTCTTCTCTGAGTATTTTTTACAAGTTAATTTTGCATTTTCTCATAACTCAAGGTTTTGACCCCCGGGGTCCCCTCAGCCTTCGAAAAAATTTTTTTTTCGGTATTCCATCAGAAATCTTTCTAGTTCCACAGTACTATGGAAGCCGTAAAAACCAGTTTTGAATACGAAAGTCCATCAAAATCCGAACTAACCTGGTCGCAATTTCTCAAAAAATAGTATTTTGCAAGTCGGGAATTGCTTTTCTATTGCCGAAACTGTTTTTTCATGAAGTTCATTTTTTGACCATTCCTAATGGTAACCAGGAGGCTAAAATTGACAGAAAAATGAAAGTCGTAGAAACAGCTTGAAAGACATATGAATTGACTCAATTTTTTGTGCTGATTTAAAATATGACATTTTTTAAAGGTCAAACTAAGTGCTTTCTGCTAGAAAACTGTCAAAAAAGAGGCAAACTGAATGTCCAGCTCAGTGGTGAGAGCAAAAGTGATTCTTAAGACATCGAATTTCAAACTGAAAATGGCGTCACTAGAAAGATCATATTGAATTACATATTCAGTGGAAAGATCAAGCTGGTGCACTGAGAAAAACAATAATT